TGACCTTGTAGCATCACTGGGTGTGGAAACTTCACTGTGTGGCTTGAAAACTGAATACTCAGGTCCCTACTACCCGGCAGAGCTTCAGTGGGAGTAACTCCAAGCCTGTTTGTAGCACCACTGGGTATGGCACCTTACAAAAAGAGAAGTTCCTTATACTTTCTAGATATTAACCCCTTTTCAGATAAATGATTTGGAAAAATTCTCCCATTATATTGGTTGCCTTTTCATTCTGTTAATAGATTCCATCCATGTGCAGAGAATTTGAAATTTGATAAAGTTCTTTTCATTTCTTTGAGGGCGTTTTTAAAAAATCTGGGCCACAGCAGCAGTGCTCAAGGCTTAGCCCTGGCAGCACACTTAGGAATTACTCCTGGTGGTGCTCAGGGTACCATATGGGATGCTGAGGATTGTATCCAGGTCAGCAGCATGCAAGCGAGTGCTATACCTGCTGTATTATCTTTCCAGCCCTTTTTCAGGGCTTCTTAAACTTTCTCCACTAGTGATACCTTTTAGGCTGATGAATTTTTACATGATCCTAGGTATATAGGAATAAAAGGTAGGCATACAAACCAAACTTTTGCCGATAATAAAACACAAAGAAATTTATTTTAAAAACAAAACACTTTAAAGTTACTCAACAGAGTGCCATGACCTACAGTTTAATAAGTAAAATAGGGTCTATTTTACTTTTGTTTTCTGTGATTTTGGCAATCAAGAAACTACTACCAAACTCAGTGTCTTCAAGCTAATTCTCCTACATTTTCTTCAGGGATTTCTGTTTTATTGGGTCATACCCAGTGGTACTCTGAACATACTGCCAGGGATTGAACCCAGGTCTGCTACATGCAAGGCAAGTGTCCTACCTTCTATACTATGACTCTAGTCCCAGATTTTTATTTTTCAGTTCTCCAATCCATTTTTTGGTATTTTCCCTCGGTCACACCCAGTGGTGCTCAGTGTTTATCCCTGCCTCTCTGCCAAGGAGTGAACTCTAGAAGTACTCGGGGTATCATATGAGGTGCCAAAGATTCCAACTGGGGTCAACTGGATGCAAGGCAAGCACCTTAACCTTTGGACTGTCTCTCTGGCCCTAGGTCTTTAGCTCAATTTTGAATTAATTTTTATATATGGTGTATGATAAGGTTTTAATAAAATTTATCCAACCTTATTTCTGAAGATACTGTTCTTTCATCAGTAGACATTTATAGTATTCACACCCTTGCTGAAAGTCATTTGGGCATATATACAAGGGTCTATTCCTGGACTTTCCTTTTTGCACCATTATTTATAGATCTGTTTTTGTGATAATATCAAATAATCTTGATTACTATCACTTTCTAGTGTGTTTTTTTTTGGGGGGTCACACCCAGCGATGCACAGGGGTTACTCCTGGTTCATGCACTCAGTAATTACTCCTGGCCAAGCTCGGGGGACCATATGGGATGCTGGGAATTGAACCTGGGTCAGGCCGCATGCAAGGCAAATGCCCTACCTGCTGTGCTATCGCTCCAGCCCTCTCTAGTGTGTTTTAAAGTTCAGAAATGTGCAGTTTCCAACATTGCTCTACTTTTCCAATATTGTGTTGGCTAGTCTGGTTTCCTTGAGGTTCCAAGTGAATGTTAGAATATTTTTTTTCCTATTAGACCTCTGGCAATGCATTGTTCCTGAGCATTACCAAGAGCAATCCCTGAAGAGTCACAGTTGGGGTGTGGTCCAAAATAAGAAAAAATAAACCAACAAAAACAATACAAAACCCATTGGTGCTCTCTTATAAGATGTGTACTTCCTTTAAAATTAACAGCAATAAGGGCTGTTTAGGTACATGCTATGTAAACCTGAGATTCTCCTTTGTACCATATGATTTTAGGTACATTGCTGACTAATAGTTTTGAGGGCCCCTGAATATTGTTGTGATCCTAGTGATTCCTGTCATCACTGAACAAGAGTAGCATTACATTCTTGACCCTTGCATTAAACCACTGGCTCAGATGGCTGAGTATTGCTGAGAGGGTTCCATCAGCATCCTTGAGCACTGCTTGGGGCATCCAAACCCACACAGAGACACCCTGAATTAACTGCACTTACCCTAGAGGGAAGTATGACTTCTTTAAATTGTATTTTTATTTTTTTCTTTTCTTATATTTATTTATTGAATCACTGTGGGAAAATTTACAAAGCTTTCAAGATTAAGTCTCAGTAATACTATAAATGGTATATTTAAATGATATTTCATGTATGGGGCCCAGAGAGAGTGTAGGGGGGTTAAGGTACTTGCCAGGTTTGTGGGTGACCTTGGTTTATTCCCCAGTACCACATATAGTCCACTTAAACTTTCCAGGAGGAAGCCCTGAGCATTCCAGGATATAACCACTCCTCACAAAATATATTTTGTGTTTGTAAGAGAAGAAGAAAAACTGAAAATCCACATAGCTGATACAAATGTCTGGTTCTATTGTTGGCAGAATTCCTTGAATATTTGAAAGATGACCTTGAATGTATACATGCTTCTCTTGAATATAAGAGGGACTAGAGAGATAGTATAGCAGGTAGGGCACTTGCCTTGCATGCAGTTGATCTGATTTCGACCCTGAGCAGGTGTGGTCCAAAAATAAAAACAAAAACAAAAAATTTTAGTTAAAAACAAAGGTTCAAAGGCAACATAACTGATCCACACAATTGAGTTTGTGGGAGAGAGCTAGAATGGGAGGAGCATTGAAGTCCTTGAGGGAGGGAGTTTGGTATACTGGTGATGGATATGGTGTTGAAATTTTTGCATGAGCAACTATTATCAATAGTGTTTTAAGCCACAGAATCTCAATAAATATTTTTTGTTTGTTGGCCACACCTGGCAACACTCAAGTGTAACTCCTGGTCCTGCACTCAGGAATCACTTCTAGTAGTACTCATGGGACCATATAGGACACCGTGGGTAGGAACTGGGTTGGCCAAGCGAAAGACTAGCTCCCTATCTGCTGTAACATCTCCAATCCCTCAATATATTTTAAAAAGTTGCTCTGTTTTTAAAAAAATGGGGCCAGAGAATTAACTCAGTATGCTGAGCTCATGTTTTGCTTGTAGTGGCATCAGGTTTGATCCATACACCTTAAGGTCCCCTCAAATATGGTAGAGAGTAACTTTTGAGCTTGGAGCTGGAAGCAGCCCTGAGCACTTCAGGATGTGACCCAAAAAGGAAAAAAATGCCCAATGATCGGGAAATATAGTTCAATGATAAGGTGTATGCCTTGTATACATGAGACCTGTGTTTTATCCCCAACACTGCAAAAATTAAAATAAAAGAAACAAAACTGCCTAAATCTCCTGCTAGGGACTTATCTCAAATAGCAGAATACAAGCATAAGGCCCCAAGTACAATCCCCAGAACACAACATGGCTTGGTGTGGCTCTTATTAAGAAAAAAAAACACACACAACAAAAACCAAAAAATGGAGATAGTGGAGAGGTTAAGGCAATTTGCCTTGCATCTGGCAGAAATAACACTGCATATGAAAGGGCTCCACAGAATTTGATCCCCCAAGGATTGCCAGGAGTGATTCCTGAGCACAGAGCCAGGAATAGCCTTGAAAACAGCAGGATGTGTCCTCCAACCCCCTTACATCTTTCTTAACAGAAAAAGTCTATCAAAGTTTACTTGAAAAGGCTCATCTCCTCCTATTCCAGTAAAAAGTAGCAACACAAGTGACTCAACTGCAATAAACTTGCAAACTTCAATTTAACGCTAACAGAACGACTGAAGCTGGCATAGTTCAGAACAAAACTCGAAACTTTTATCATGAACAACTTTCTAAACCACCGTGTTTATTAACTAAAGTGGGGAAAAATAGTGAAACTCTTTGACTTAACTTTAAATTTAGGTTTCGGGATCACACCTGTGGCCATGCAGGTATTACTCCTGTTTCTTCACTACGGAGTCACTCTGGGTGCAAATGGGATGCTGGTCTCGATCCAAGTTTGGTTATGTGCTAAGCAAGCACCTTACCCAGGTCGGCTACCTGCGAAGCCAACTGTACTCTTTCCGGATCCAGAAACAAATTAACTTTAAAGAATGGAATTATGATTTGCAGAGATTACTAGTTGGCAATCAACTGATAAAACATGAATACTGGAAAAATTTTTAGAGATCCTCCGATCTTACTGTTATGAGAACAAAATAGATCCAGGTTGGTTGGTCTGACAATTAAACATTAAATCTCAGACCTGGGTAATAGTTGATACGTTTGTGTGTTCCCCAAAGGTAGAGTTATTCAATATTAAAAAAATTGTATGCAGATCTTGTTTGTTATACGCATACATACATTATGTATGCAAGTATGTCGTTATGCTAAATATTATACAGAAAACATTCCAGAAAAGCAACAAACCTGGAATATGGTTGACATATTCAAGGTTGTTACAAGTTGGAATGTAGGAAAGAAAATATATAGAATAGCTCTCCAGATTCGTGGGTAAGAGTGCCATGTCTGGTCTGAATTTGGCCTGCCACTTCTGTGTTTTGGTTTCCTCATCTGGAAAACGTAGATGATGGCACGGCCGCCCAAAGGATGTCAAGAATTGCATGAGATGTTTTGGATAAAGGATTAGTATAGTGATGGGTTCATAGTAAACTCTCAATAAACGTGTCACCGTAGTGCTTTGTAAATCTATCAAAGACAAAAGGCTGGCTCAAAAGTATTTTCAGAATAGAGTCAAATTACGTCACTGCACTTTTGGGTCAACGGGATGGAATTAGACCCCTTGGAAAAGGTGGAGGGGATCGAATGACGTAGACCGCCTTAGCAACAGGCCCCTCGAGAAGGTGAATTTTCGTAGCCAATAGGCGGCTCCATTGCAAAGGCGACAGCCAATGAGTGACGGAAAGAGGAAGGAGAAGGACGCTCCAATTCTCCCGCCTGAGCCTCGGCCCAACAAAATGGCGGCGGCGGCGGCGTAGCTTTGTTTCCGCGGCTTCTGCGGCGGTGGCGGTGGTAACGGTGTTGGAGGTGTGGGGAGGTTCTAGTTCCATTTCTAGTGCCGACTAAGAGGCCAGTGCATTACTCTCATAACCGGGCGTCGGGGAGCGCTGCACGACGCCTGACGGTCGCAGAAGTCGACAAGGCGTTGAAGCGAAAACATGACTGCTGAGCCCATGAGGTAAAACACCGATCCCAGCATTCTGGCCCGCGCTCCTCGGTGTCTGGTGCTGGGGAAGACTTTGCCGTGGTGGGTTAGGTCAGTGTGTGACTTAGCGGAAAGAGACATCCTTTTCTCTTTAGGTGAGAAAGCTTTCGACGGAAGGCTTCAGCCGGGTGGGGGTGGGGGTGGGGCGAAAATGGCGGGGCGAAAATGGCGCGCGACCTGGCGCACGGGGCCCCTCTTGCAACCGCCCCGGAATCGGTGAAGCTTGACCGGTTGCTGGTTGCTTCCGTGTATTCTCCGGCGCCCGCGGGCTCGAAACGCCCAAGTCGGCGCCGGCTTTGCTAGCGCGATCATTGTTTGCAAGCTTTAGGCCTAGACGCTGCGTGGGGGAAGAAGCTGGCCCGGGGCGGGAGGGGCAGAGGGGCGGGGGGGAGGGCGGGGTGGGAAGAGGGGGAGGGGTGGACGGGAGGATGTGAAATCCTGGGACGGGTTGGTGGCGTTAAGACCGCTGGACACGGGAAGTACCCCGGCCTTGCGGAATTTTTCTTTCCGTTAACCCCGAGGAGGACAGGCATTTTTAAAGTGGTGAGAGGGTGGATCTGACCAGATCTTAAAAAACTTGAGATTCTGAAAAATATCCATGGAATTTCCTCTGGCAGGGGGATGGCCTTCCGGAGGACCCCAATCTCCTACTTTTCTTTCCTTTTTGTGTCATACTCGGCTATGCACAGGGGTTACTCCTGGCTCTGCACTCAGGAATTACTCCTGTCGGTGCCCGGGGACCATATGGGATGCCGGGGATCGAACCCAGCAAGGTTATCGCTCCAGCCCCCTATATTACATTTTGGGGTGGGGGGTTAAAGCCAGCTTTAATTGGTTATAAGACAGATTTCCAATGTTTTACTATGTGGGTAAAATTAAAGCGAAAGTAATTAGACCCTGTTTTTTGTTCTTTATTTCATGCGGGATTGGGGAGCCGGTTAATACGGATTGATGGGAAGTGAGATTTATTGCAGGGGAAGACGTGCTTGGCTCAGTAGTCAAGCACGTTTATTAGATTGATGTTGTTTTTGTGCTTTTGATTTGCCTCTTGATAGTGTCTTAAAAGATGAGTGACTAATACTGAAACTGTACTACTTTGCATTGAAAGTGTAGCACTGCTTTTGAGGGCCTTTGACATTTGGTCCCTTGTGAATTAAGTAATTTTTCTATTTCGAAGTGCATTCTTGGCTCCTATTGATGAGGGAGCATGGATCACGACAATGCATTTGTACTTGGCCAAATGTGTTTTTAAGTAACTAGTAGATGGTATACCACTGGAGTTGGGAAGTACCGTGGCCTTGCGGAATTTTTACAGCACTTAAGCTAGCATGTAAAATTGTGAAAGAGCCTTTAATTCTTATTATTTTCCTGCGTTAACGACTGGTAGATGTTTTCTTCCCTTGAGGGGAAAACCCCCTAGTTTTAGATAATGGATACCTTGTTGTGTAAAGATTGTGACCTTATTTTCTGAATTTATGCTCAGTACAGAAAATTTTTACAGGATATTTGGCACAAAAAAGGTACCCATATAACTTGTTAGTACTCATGTTCTAATACATCAAGGGTATACTTTTTGGTTAAATATGACTGACGTCTCGATTTTACTCTCATGAAGTGTGCTTTGAAAACCATTGGTTGAACTTGAATTTTCTCCCTTTAGTTAGGGTGAACAAAGTTTGTGTATGTAGAATTTCTGAATAGACTCATTCATTTCATGTGTTTCTTAAAGGTCTTGAAACCTTTTGTTTATCATGTTGGTAACATTAACATTTCAACAGAAGTTCAGTGTATTTTGTTAACTTTCTTATGGTGATAACAGCAATAATTTTAACTAAGGTTGAGTGTTTATTGTTGACCTTTGATTTGTAATCTTGATTAGTTCACAAAATAACCCTTTGGGGTACCATTAACATTGTTCAGTGTTAAATGTTAAGGTGAAAAAGAAATATGAGGTAGAGATCAAATAATGTGGCCACAAATGGCATAACTTTTAGTTGTTGGAGAGAGAATTAAATTTAGTGTATTTTCTTATGGTTGCTTGTTTTTGGGCCACACTCGACAGTGCTCAGAGGCTATTCCCAGCTCCCCTGGCCCATGGATACCTGCATCAAGCAAGAAAAGTGCTTTAATCTTTGTTCTGTGTATCTTTTCTGGGGGGAGTCACACCCGCGGTGCACAGGGGTTGCTCCTGGCTCTCTACTCAGGAATTACAGTTGGTGGTGCTCGAGGGACTTTTGGGATGCTGGGAATTGAACCTGGGTCAGCCACATGCAAGGCAAACAAACGCCCTACCCTCTGTGCTATCGCTCCAGCCCCTGTTCTGTGTATCTTTGCCCTGAATTTAGTCTTGACTCCAGAGTTTGCTATTTTTTTTGAGCTACACCCAGCAGTGAAACTGCCATGTACCCAGGAATCAAACCTGGGCCTCCAGCATGCAAAGTTCTGCCTGTTGAGTTATATCGTTCGCCACAGAGGAATTGAGCCCAGCCGAGCCGGGTTCGATTCCTCCTCCCCTCTCAGAGAGCCTGGCAAGCTACCAAGAATATCTCGTCCGCACGGCAAAGCCTGGAAGCTACCTGTGACATATTCGGTATGCCAAACAGTAACAAGAAGTCTCAAAATGGAGACATTTGCCCACTTGAGCAAATCAATGAGCAACGGGGGGACAATGCTACAGGAATTTATTTTTATTTATTTTTATATAAAAATATAAAGCCCCAACCATGCTGAGACCACTCTCCACACGCATGAAGGTACTGGCAGAGGAACAAAGGCATGTGGGTCCCGGGGCTGAGATCTCCAAGCCTGCTTGGATCGGGGCTGAGCATCCTCTCACCCAGATCCTCCATCTTCCAGTAGGCAGGGGTGACACCCACCAACTGACCCCCCCCCACCCCCATGCCATGTAATCCCATCAACAGCCAAGACCCAGAGACTATAAAACCCAGCTCCTGGAAGCATGCAGCTGCATTTGTGGCCGCGCGACATCTTATCTCATTCTTACTTTGGACAATCTGGCAGGCTACCGAATGTAACCTGCCCACACGGCAGAGTCTGGCAAACTCCCCGTGGCGTACCCAATATGCCAAATACCAGTAACAATGATGGGTCTCATTCTCCTAACCCTGAAAGAGCCTTGAATATGCCACTTTAAATCTCAGGGCTAGGACGAAGGTGACGTTACTGGTACCTGCTCGAGGCAATTGACGAACAATAGGATGATCGTGATTGTGATCGTGATATTTGTTTTATATTTATTTTAATGTAGAATAAAGCCAAAATTGTTTATATAATTCTAGAATTAAAATTGATTAGATAACAAAGTTGCAATATTAAAATCAATAGATCTAGAAAATGAATTCATGTGAACATTTTTATATCTGATTGCAGGGTTAAGTCCTTGTCTAAGAATTTAGGAATTTATGTTATTTAAAGATATTTTAAACTCGGGGCTGGAGCGATAGCACAGCGTGTAGGGCATTTGCCTTGTACGCGGTCAACCCGGGTTCGATCCCCAGCATCCCATATGGTCCCCTGAGCACGCCAGGAGTAATTCCTGAGTGCAGAGCCAGGAGTAACCCCTGTGCATTGCCGGGTGTGACCCAAAAGGCAAAAAAAAAAATATTTTAAACTAAATTTGTGTGGTTCTGGGGTTAAATCCTCCCCCTCCCCCAACTTTTTTGTTGTTGTGCTGGGATTGAAGTCAGGGCCTCACTCACATGAGGCTAGTGCTCTCTATCACTGAGCCACATCCAGGCCCAGGATATTTTTTGAAACATTTTTAAAAAAATTTTATTTATTGAATCACCATGAGAGCAGTTACAAAGCTTTCGGGTTTAAGTCTTGGTCATACAATGAAACACCTGTACCTTCACCAGTGCCCATTCTCCACCCCCAAAAGCCCCAGTATACCCCCATCGCACACCTTCCCCCTACCTGTGGGGCAGATGATTTCCACATTTCTCTCTCTCTCTACTTTGATTACATTTTTTGAAACATTTTATATTGCATGGGAGCCACTGGGAACACAGCTGGTAGTGTTGGGGAACTGTGAAGTGCTAAGGATCAAACTGAGGGCTTTGACATACTGGGTCTGAGCTCTACCACTTGAATTATTTCCTGGGCCCTAGAGTTAGTGTTTTGTTTATTTGGTACTGTGGATTGAACCTGTGTCAGCTGTATGCAAGGGTAAGTGCCCTACCCATTGTACTATAGCTACATCTCTGTATGTTCTTGAGCACTAAGAGCAAAGGTTAATTCTGCATTTTCCTTGTGTTGATGTGAAAAAAAACTTATAGGGCTGTAGAAGTAGGAAAGCGGGTAGGGCGCTTGTCTTGCAGTTGACTGACCCAGTCAGTCCCTGCCTGGCATCCCATATGTTCCCCCTGAATCCCCTCAGGAGTGATCTCAGAGCACAGGCAGGAGTAAACCCTAAGCACCGCTGGGTGTGGCCCCAAAACTGAAAAGAAAGAAAGAGAAGAAATTTCCAACGATTCTGGGGTAAAAAATAACAAAAGATATGAGGGAGAAAATACACTATTTTCTTTTTTTTTTCTGCTTATATTTATTTATTGAATCACTGTGGGAAAAGTTACAAAGCTTTCAGGTTTAAGTCTCGGTCATACAATGATCAAACACCTTTCCCTTCACCAGTACTCACATTTCACCACCAAGAACCCCAATATAGCCCCCTCCCACCCCTCCCAATGCCTGTGAGGCAGATGATTTCTACTTAACTCTTCTCTACATTGATTACATTCATTATTTCGACAAAAGATGCACCATTATTGTTTAGAATTTCGCCCCAACAATCAGAATTGCTGAAAAGGCATTGTGAAATACTTTGTTTTCTATAGCTGATATGAGAATCATATAATGTCATATAATGATTTTGGATTTCTGCAAAGAGCCAGATAATTACGAGATTGGTTTCTGTGAGTCTGGTGTTAAGCCTGTGCTGGAGAGCCACTCGT